TTTGTTTTCCTATTTCTTTGCTCTTTTCTCCCCTCCCCTCCCCTCCCCCACTCCCATCCCTCCCTCCCCTCCCCTCCCTTCCCCTTCCCTTCTCTTCCCTTCTCCTCTCTTTTCTTTTTATTACAAGGCCTGCATTGCCAGAGCTCCTTTTTTTTTTTTTTTTTTTTTGAGGAATTTCATAAAGATTTTGGGCTGGTCCCTCCTTGATTTGTCATTGTCTTTGAACTAGACGCATTCTTACATGGACAGCTACTTTCAGGAGGTTCGTGCTAAGGAGTGGGCCCTGGCCGTTGAGGCTAGCTGGAATTCTCCTTGGGTCATGCTCAGTTTCCTTATGAGTCAGGTCAGAAGATTCCTTTAGGCTTCACCTCTTCCAAAAGAAATCTGAAACTGCAGTGCTGAGTTCTTTGTTTTCCTGTTGCCTTACTGACAGGCTGCTTTTTGCCAAGGTGGCAGTTTTGCGTGATTCCTCATTTAGTTATGTGTTTCCTTGGTGTTGATTCTAGTGCACACCATCAACAACTTATGTTAACCAGCAGTATATAAGAAATGAGCTCCATAACTACTATTTCTAGGAACTAACACGCTAGCAGTTTTACGGCACGTGTGAGAAGAGCCCCACCCACCCCCAACTTAAGAGTGTTGTCAAACAATCCATTTAATGGAGAAGATAAGGCCCAACTTTTTGTTTTTTGTTTTTGTTTTTTTTTTTCAGATGGAGTCTCCGTCTGTTGCCCCTGGAGTGCAGTGGCGTGAGCTCGGCTCACTGCAACCTCCACCTCCCAGGTTTGGGTGATTCTTGTGCCTCAGCCTCCTGAGTAGCTGGGACTACATGTGTGCACCACCATGCCCAGCTAATTTTTTATATTTAGTAGAGATGGGGTTTCACCACATTGGCCAGGATGGTCTCTATCTCTTCACTGCATGATGCGCCTGCCTCGGCCTCCCACAGTGCTGGGATTACAGGTGTGAGCCACTGTGCCTGGCCCCAACTTTTAATAAGGCTGTCTGTGTGTGTCCAAACAATGTTTCCTGTCGAGCTTTAAACAATGGGTATATCTATAAAAGGTCACTTAATAAAATATTTTGATCAATACAATTTTGGGCCAAATAATTCTTAAATTTTCAAAGACAAAGTAATGATATTCCAGATAAGCTTTTTATCATATGAAAATAAATGTTGATTTAGAAGTTCTAAAAGTCATCTAGTGGCCGGACGCAGTGGCTCATGCTTGCAATCCCAGCACTTTGGGAGACTGAGGCGGGCAGATCACCTGACGTCAGGAGTTCAAGGCGAGCCTGGCCAACATGGTGAAACCCCGACTCTAGTAAAAATACAAAAAAATTAGCCGGGCATGGTGGGACATGCTTGTAGTCCCAGCTACTCAGGAGGCTGAGGCAGGAGAATTGCTTGAACCCAGGAGATGGAGGTTGCAGTGAGCCGAGATTGCACCACTGCATTCCAGCCTGGGCAACAAAATGAGACTCCATATCAAAATTAAAAAAAAAAAAGCCATCTCGTTTACGTACCATCCTCCTCTACAACCTGGGTGAAGTGTCTAACACACACTCAGTCCAGATCTGAGACTCGGGCATCGTTTCTAGACTTCTGGTTCTTCCCACAACCCCAGCTTGTCTTCCTGGTTTATCATTTTACATTTGAGAGGCTGAGCAGAAATAAGTTTGAAATTTTCAACCTTAATCTGCGTATTTGCCTTACATAGTATTTATTTCTCCCCAAAACTTGCCCAGGACTGAACCTGGGCCACATTAAGCATGATCTATTGGTAAGAGGGTTGTTTGGAAAACAGTTCGATGGACATAAAATTAGTAACTCTTTAATGATGGGATATTAAAAGTGTTTCTTCTTTGGGCTCTTTAAATCTAAAATTTTAAGGGCTTTGGGGAAATACAAAGGTGGAGGACCTAAGCTTTAGTAATCCAGACTATCTGGCAGAGCTTACTGGAGTGGAATTGATGGGGAACAGACGGCTTTTTAAAAAATTACTACTATTTTGAGACAGAGTTTTGCCCTTGTTGCCCAGGCTGAAGTGCAATGGTGCGATCTCAGCTCACTGTAACCTCTGCCTCCCGGGTTCAAGTGATTCTCCTGTCTCAGCCTCCCCAGTAGCTGGGATTATAGCATGTGCCACCACACCCAGCTAATTTTGTATTTTTAGTAGAGGTGGGGTTTCACCATGTTGGTCAGGCTGGTCTTGAACTCCTGACCTCAGGTGATCCACCTGCCTCGGCCTCCCAAAGTGCTGGGATTACAGTTGTAAGCCACTGTGCCCGACCTAACAGATGGCTTTTGACTGAGAGCTGTTGAATGTTGTCGATCATTTATTGACAACAGAATTAAGGGTGAAATGAGGGAAGAACCATGATCTCTGTTCTTCCAGAAGAAAATGGCAAACTGGAGGAGATGGCCAGTTACTCTGAAGAACAGTCAAAGTTAGGGCCCTCCAGTGAATGGAATTAGGTCACTTACAGGGCTAAGGCATTTTTTTCTTTTCTTTTTTTCGAAACAGAGTCTCACCCTGTCACCCTGGCTGGAGCACAGATCATGGCTCACTGCAGCCTCCACTTCCTGGGCTCAGGTGATTCTCTCACCTTAGCCTCCCGAGTACCTGGGACTACAAGCATGCGCCACCACACCTGGCTAATATTTTGTAGTTGGATTTTCGCCATGTGCCCAGGCTGGTCTTGAATCCCTGGGCTCAAGCAATACGCCCATTTTGGCCTCCCAAAGTGCTGAGATTACAGGAATGAGCCACAGTGAAGGGCCAAGGTCCAACCATTCTTAGGGAATGAAGACTATTGTTTTTTATTGCAATCTCTAGCATTAAGAGCTTTCATTTTACGTAGTATCCAGTAAGGGAGAAAGGACCATCATAAAGAATTGTTTGCATGAGCTCTGGCCGCTGTTCCTGAGGTCAGGGAGCAAGGGTAACACAGGGGAGAACCAGGCAAGAAAGGAGAAGGAAACAGAGTGGGAGGAAGGGAAGGAGAAAGGAACGACAAGAAGATGCTGATTATGGGGCATGGGAGGGCATCAGTTGGGATCTCAGTTGACTTATCCTCTGGTTTCCATTGTTCGTATTATCTAACCTCTGGCACAAGTGAAATACATGACAGTTTTCCAAATGTATTTCTTATTGAAGGGGACGCTGTTTGCCTTGGACTTTGGTAATGTACCCCAACTATAAGAGAGGTTCCTTAGTAATTCTTCTCACCTATCCCTCTTGGAAATTGGGTTGTGGATTTATTCTATATCTAACTGGCAAGTAAATTCTCTATTTGCTCTTCTCAGTTTGGAGAACCTTAAGCTCCAACTTTGAAAGATAGAAACCAGCATGGAGGTCCTAGGAATGGGGATGCCAGGGTGTCGTCTGACTACTTCTTCTTCTTCTTCTTTTTTTTTTTTTTTTAAGACAGTCTCCCTCTGTTGCCAGGCTGGAGTGTGGCGTGATCTCGGCTCACTGCAACCTCCGCCTCCTGGGTTCAAGTGATTCTTGTGCCTCAGCTTCCCAAGTAGCTGGGACTACAGACATGCACCACCACACCCAGCTAATTTTTGTAGTTTTGGTAGATACAAGGTTTCACCATGTTGGCCAGGATGGTCTCAATCTCCTGACCTCGTGATCCGCCCACCTCGCCCTTCCTAAGTGCTGGGATTACAGGCGTGAGCCACCGCACTGGTGGATGTCCTCTGACTTCTTTGGGGTCAGGGAAGAAGCTGAGCGAGAGCATCTGGCCTGCCTCCACTCCAGCCAGAGTCAGAACTAGGCAGAAGGTGCTGGATGAAATTTCCTTTACAGGGAGTAGACTTCTTTTTTTTTTTCCTTTTTCATTTTACAGTAAAATTGGAACAGTCCTGGGAAAATGGGACAGGTGTCCCCAGTCAAGAGGCAGGGCTGTTTACCCAACTCCGAGGAGGGGCCCTGGGGAGGGGAAGTATTGATACCAAGAAAACTAAAATTTTCCAATCAAGAGGTCGCCCCTGCAGGTTGGGGACCAGGGAACTGGAGCACGTGGGCCGCCCTCTGACAGGTGGACACCAGGAGTGCAGCGGGCAGGCCAAAGTACAGCTGGGAGATGGCAGTCGGGAGGGAATTCTCTGGGTTAGTTTGGCAGCCCTTAGGAAAGCAGGTGCCTGCCCCTAGGAAAGCAGGTGAGCCCCTCCTTCGAGAGGACTGCGGGGCAGACGATCACTTTCCACTAAGTCTCTAGGAGGAGAGAGGGAGATGCGAGAAGGGGCCAAGCGTGAGCCAGGGTAGCCAGGCCGGCCAGGTCCGCTGGCTGCTCCAGCCCAGCGCCGGCGCCCCCACAGGGCCGCCAAACACCCCCAGGAGTTTTGCTCGCAAAGGGACCACGAGGCAGCTGCTGGCGCGTCCTGCGCGTGCCCGCCTGGAGGCTCCCAGGCTTGCTCCTCCCGGGTCCGTCCCGAAACTGACGTGAAACCGATTTGGTGCAATGCGAACGAGCTCCCGCCAGCCGCCCGGGCCTGGGGAGCTCCTGCCGCCGCCTGCATCCCAGCAGCCGCCGCCCGTAGCCATAACAACAGGCCCCCGCCCGCCCTGCACCGCGCCCCTCGGGTCCCCCGTGCCACCCGCCCCAGCGCGGGAAGGCGCCCCGCCCTCGGCGACCCGCATCCGGCCGCCGCGCACCCCCGCCCGCTCAGCGCTTCCGAGCGGCGCAGAGGCGCCCCCTCCCGCCAGAGACGGGAAAGCCCCGGCGCCCCCAGACTTGGCTCCGCGTCTAGCTACCCGTGGGGCTGGGGCTCTCCCGCGCGCGCCCCGCACCTGCCGGGGGCCCGCACCCGCCCTCGCCGGGGCTCCAGGGGGCGCGACGGCCGCGGCCCGGCGTTCCCTGGAGGGGAGCGGGACATCCCCGAAGGCGGCGCGCGGGAGGCAGGGAGCGGCTGGGGCGCACTGGGAGGGCGGGGAGCCCGCGGGAGGAGGAGGAGGAGGAGGGGGAGGAGGTGCGAGAGTGGGGAGCGCGGCGGGCGGCGGGGAGGGAGGCAAGAAAGTAGCAGAAAGTGAGGCTGGCAGGCGGCGGCAAAGGAGCCGGCGCGCGGCGGCGGCAGGAAGTCTGTGCCCGAGAGCAGCAGAAATAAGAGCCAGGGAGGGACCGCGGCGGCGGCGGCGAGAGCGAAAGAGGAAACTGCAGAGGAGGAAGCCGCGCAGCAGCCGAAGCTGCCCGGCTCGGCGCCCGGCATCCCCGCCGCCCCTGCGCCCGCGCCGCGCCGCGCCCCCGGCGCCCCCTCCCCAGCGCGCCCCCAGCCGCCCCTCCGCGCCGCGTTCGTCGGCCATGGCCCGGGAGAACGGCGAGAGCAGCTCCTCCTGGAAAAAGCAGGCTGAAGACATCAAGAAGATCTTCGAGTTCAAGGAGACCCTCGGAACGTAAGTGGGGACCGGGGAGGTGAGGGCGGAGGTGGCCGCGGCGGGGGCTGCACGGGCGGCTCCGGCTGTCACCGCCGCCGCCAGCACCGCGGCAGGAACCCGGCCCGTCGCTGCGCCTTCATTGTCCCGCTCTCGGCGCTGCGGAGCCCCCCGAGCGCGCCCGACGCATGGGCCTGCGACCCCGAGGTGGGCTCGGTTCCCGGGAGGGGGAGGGGCAGCGCCGAGCTGTCAGGGAGCAGCCCACGCGGGCGGGCGACTTCCCACTTCCCCTGCCACCGCCGCCCTCTCCGATGCCTTCTCCCCACGCGTGACTGTGGGCTGAGCATGGTAGGAATGGCTGTTTACCGGCTGTGTGCGTTTACTCGCCGTGTGCATGGGCGCACCGCGTTGGCGAGACGTAGTCACGAGAAGATCAGCCTCCAGTCATTCCCATTTCTGTCCTTACATCATGTATTCCTATGGAATTGACATCTGCACGTATGAGGTGTAGGCAAGACTTTGGATGGCCACGCGAGGATGGAAGGGAAGGGCTTCGCAGGGCTCACGGTCACACGTGGGCAGAGCCTCCCGGGAGGGTCTGTGCGTTTCTCGTGGGCTCGGCTGCACGCGCCGGGGAGCGCTTCTCCAAGGGAGGGTCTGTGCGCGTCGCTGCGCGGGCGGTGCTCTCTCGGCTGCGTTGAGTCCATGCTGATGGCTGCGTCTCAAGGAAGCAGAAATAATCCGAAGTCGATGGCAGGAACGCTCCAAGCATGTGCTGCTCAGCTCGACTGCTGTTCCCTTTCTGCCCAGGAGTTGGGTCTTGTTCTGTTTTGGAGCAGCTCAGCATAGGTGGGGAGGCTGATAGTGAAAGAGAATCAGGACCTGCCGAATGAGTCTGAAGTTCAAATTATTTTCTTCCCTCATACGATCAGTGTTTGTTGTGGATTAGTATCTGTCAGTGTATGTGTATTCACGCACGAATGTGCAGTCTGAAGTGTACATTTTGCAGGGGTTCATGAAGGTGTTGGTTAGGCTGGGAAGAAAAGGAGGAGATATTTCATGGTATAGATCAGTGTGTTGTTGGGTGCTCTTTCTTTCCTTCCTTCTTTTTTTCACAGTGCTTGTTTTTGTGCTTGGTCTGTTTTTCCAGCACCACATTACCCAGATTGTCGTCGCCTCCAGGCTCAGGGTTTGCTGCTCTTCAGTTATTTTCCTTCACCCCCACGCAGATCTGCAGGGGGGGGGGTCCCCCGGAGGGAAGTTGTGAAGGTGGTGTTCCCAGCTCTGCTTCTGATTCCCGAGAAAGGTGTAGCTGAGGACTAGAGTGGGGTCTCCCTGCTGTGGCTGCTGCCTTTCAGGGAGGGCACGTCTTTGCTAGCTTTGTTGAAATGAAAACAAAAAAGACGTACCTTTTTAATAAAGAAGGATTTGGGGTGTCCTCTCAGTGCAGCCAGGTAAGGGGTTAGTTTGGGTCAAAACTTTTGAAGATTGCCACTGAGGTTTATTCGGGTTTGGGGTTGTGATTCTGAGATGCTCCAGTTACTGAATAACAAGAAAGCGTGGCCTTCTCTTGTCACCCAGGACCCGAGCTGTGGCCGCCGATGAGGATGAGGGGGTGTGAGAGCGTCGGGACCCACTCTGTGTGAGTGCCTTTCTGTGCCTGCCTTGTTCCCAACTGAGGCCTCCACACTGGCTTCCAGCCTCTGGGTGACTGAGGCACCGTCCCCTAACTGGTCGCCTGCAGTGGCGGGCTGCTGAGTCTTGGCCAGCCTGTTTGGAGATGATTGCGGCTGGTTTTCACCTTGGGGCAAAATGGGGATTTGCCTTCTGGTGCCAGAGTACAGCTCTGGAAGAACAGCTTCTTGGACTCCAGCCTTGTTCCCTGTGAGCTTTGGGAATGGGTCTCTCTTAGGGTCCCAAAGCATTGCATTCTGCAATGGGATGCAATTCTTTGCAAAGGAACTTCCCACGGTAGTGCCAGCAGGGGACCTAGAAGAGTGAAAGAGAAACAGTGTGATGATCAAGATGTTTTTACTCCACATAATAATCATGGTAATCATAGGTGATATTCTGAAATCTATACCTAGGACCAGGTATTATTCTACATGCCTTGTGGGCATTAACTCATTTAAATCTCAGAGTAACCTATGAGGCAGGTATTTACCATCATACCCAATCTGCAAATGAGAAAACTAAGGTGGCAGAGATATTATGTGAGCTGTCAAACCTTAGCTAGCTATTACGTGGCGGAGCTGGTATTCACAGATAGGCAGAGTAACTTTTGATTATCCATACAGGGTTGACGCACTTTGTAGATTTTGTAATGGCAAATGCTTAGTAGATAATTTGACTTAACTTTAGTATTTGGAAATTGAACTTTAATATTAAAGTAAAGAAAACATAATGGGTGGGGCATGGGGGCTCACACCTGTAATCCCAGCACTTTGGGAGGCCGAGGCAGGTGGATCACTTGAAGTCAGGAGCTGGAGACCAGCGTGGCCACCATGGTGAAACCCCATCACTACTAACAATACAAAAATTAGCCGGGTGTGGTGGTTATACTTCCAGCTACTTGGGAGGCTGAGGCGGGAGAATCACTTGAACCCGGGAGGTGGAGGTTTCAGTGAGCTGAGATAGCGCCACTGCTCTCCAGCCTAGGCAACAGAGTGAGACTCAGTCCCAAAAAACTAAAATGAAATAAATAAACAAGAAAGCGTAATGATGGCAATCGTGATAGCATAATGTTATCTAAACTTGGAAGCATTTTAGAGCTTTTGGATTGTCATTATTTTGCCTTGGTGGACTTTCTAGAAGTGGTCCCCAGTTCAAGATGCCTGCTCCACCCTGGGCCACGACCAGTGACCCTGGCCTCAGTCTTAATGTGGAGGTGACTTCTGGTACCTACAGTGTGGATTTTGAGTCTGGGCCCTTCTCTTGTTTTAAATGAAATCTACCACAAATGAAAGGCACCAGCAATTAACCGCTGGTGTTCATTTCCAAAATATGCATCAGTTCCAGTCACTTCTTTTGCCCCGCTGTCACCATACATCTTTAAGATAGGAAGCCAGGAAAGCCCTGTAAGAAGCTTGGCTGTCAGCTCCCAGTGTTCACATGCGTTTAAAATAAAACATCATCAAGGCTGCAGGCACACTCACTTTGCCAGACTTTGTAATCTGATATCTGCTGCCTTGTCTACCTATCGTGCCTCACAGAGCAGAGCGTTTACTGTTGGAAGCTAAGGGGTCAAGGCGTTTGGTCTGTGTGGTTAGAGTGGGGGCTAAATGGGAGCGAAGGTTGGCCCAGGGGGATGGAAATGAGATTGAGGAAGCAAAGAGCAACACAGAGAAAGGACTGGGCTTTGTGGTTTGGTCTGGGTTGTCTGACGCACCTCTGAGTCAGGTCTCAGGGAGAAACCTTTCAACCTGTACGCTTCAGTTCAGCCTCCTATAAAAGGGAGTCCCAGAACATACCCATATCGCTGAATAAGGTGGTGAGGCTGAATTATTGTTTGTTAGTCAGCATGTTTTCAGACCCTCGGCGCACTATGAGAGCAAGTAAATATTATGTAATGGCAAATTATGAGGGGCACACATTTCTGTTGGTGGATTTGTTCAGGCCATCTCTATTGTAGCTGTCTTTCATTAATTTCTGAAAAAATAAAAAAATTAAAAATTGAAAAAAACCCCTAAAATACCACTTGGAGAAGTACATGGATGGGAAGAAAGCTTCAGTGTGGTGTCCAGGAAGTACCCCAGACTCATCCAAGTCACTTCTTCAATTTCTACGCTGTGAAATGCCTGTGAATGGAGAGGCCTGGGTACTTGGCACATTACAGAATGAGCCTCCCAACAAACCTCATTTCTCCTGGAGTACAGAACATGACATGCCCTAGAAAATGTATCTTCATCTCCGCAGGGTATGAATACATGTTTTTCATATAGACTGCACATTTGAAGTTGAAGTCATTCCTGTCTGTAGATGGCTGGACAAGGGATCGTGGAGGATTTGAGACTGGGTTCCAGGTCCGGCTCAGCCATGAGGCATTTTGTGGCCTGTGGGCTGCTTGGACATTGACCTACATTGCCTTCGCCCTGTCTCAGTTTCTTCATCTATAAAATCAAGGCAGGTTGGGGGGGTGGGGAACAGGGAGGATGAAATAATATTCTTTTTCTTTTTTTTTTTTTTGAGATGGAGTCTCACTGTGTGACCCAGGCTGGAGTGCAGTGGTGTGACCTTGGCTCACTACAACTTTCACCCCCTAGGCTCAAGCGATTCTCCTGCCTCAGCTCCTGAGTAGCTGGCTAATTTTTTTTGTTGTTGTTGAGACAGAGTCTCACTCTGTAGCCCAGGCTGGAGTGCAATGGTGTGATCTCAGCTCACTCTAATCTCCGCCTCCTGGGTTCAAGTGATTCTTGTGCCTCAGCCTCCCAAGTAGCTGGGATTACAGGCATGTGCCACCTGGCTAATTTTGTATTTTTAGTAGAGACGGGGTTTCACCACATTGGCTACGCTGGTCTCGAACTTCTGACTTTGTGATCTGCCTAGCCTGGCCTCCCAAAGTGCTGGGATTACAAGCGTGAGCCACTGCACCTGGCGTAATTTTTTTATTTTTAGTAGAGACTGGGTTTCGCCATGTTGGCCAGGCTGGTCTCGAACTCCTGACCTCAGGTCATCCACCTGCCTTGACCTCCCAAAGTGTTGGGATTACAGGCGTGAGCCACTGTGCCCGGCCCAATTTTCAACTGGCAACCCTAAGATTCTGTGGCTCCTTGTGTAAGGAGGGCACTTGCTTTTGTTCCCTAGGGGCGTTCTTTGTGTGGCTAGGTGCAGCTCAATTCTGTTTGGAGGAATTTTTTTTTTTTTTTTTTTTTTTTTCGGGACGGAGCCTTGCTGTGTCACCCAGGCTGGAGTGTAGTAGTGCACTCATAGCTCACTGCAGCCCCAAACTCCTGGGCTCAAGTGATTCTCCTGCCTGAACCTCCCAAGTAGCTGGGACTACAGGTATGCACCATCATGCCTGGCTAATTTTTTATTTTCTGTAGAGACAGGGTCTTGCTGTATTGCCCGGGCTGGTGTCAAACTCGGGTCCTCAAGTGATCCTCCCACTTTAGCCTTCCAAAGTGCTGGGATTACAGGTACGGGCCATTGCACTTGGCCCTGGAGGGACATTTTTTGTGACCGTACTAGTAGCAAAATGAGAGCTTGGGACCAGCACCCTGATTCCACTTCATGTCAATAGCCGTGTGTCTCCTTTTTCATTAAGTGAGTGCCTGCCGCGTGCTGCTTTAGGAAGAGTATAAATAGAAGCTTCTGTGGGTCAAGCACCGTCTTTCATCTCAAACTCCGCTTCTTAGTCTGAAGTTGCCCATTAAATACACCTATTACGGACACAGATGATTGGTTTGTCTGAAAGTCCAGATGGAAAACAGACTCGACTCTTCTTTTTTGGGGTGTGTGTGTGTGTGTGTGTGTGTGTGTGTGTGATGGGGCAGAGAACGCACAGACACTTGCGGTGGTTCATATACTTGGCTCGTGGATTTCACTGCCGTTTTTCTGGGGTTACGCAGAATCTGAGAGTTCATGAGAAGCATTTGGAAGAACGTTACCGAGAGAAAAGGAGGGACGGGAAGGCCCTAGACTTCTCCTCGAGGGTATCCCCGCTGCAGTCTTCCTTAGACGCTTGGATTTCCCAGTCCTCTTGTTTTGAGGCGTGGTGTAAATTCAGCCTCTCATACATTTAAAAATATCAGTTGAACACCTGCTATATTCTAGGCACCGAGGAGATGACAGTGAACAGACGAGAATGCCTGGTCTCCCAGAGCCACAGAAATCACAAGGGACAAAGAGGGGAAAGAAACAGCAGGTTAGAAGCTGCAGGTTAGGCAGGAACCGAGAGCCAAAGGGGATGTGTGGGGTGGGGCGATGGCAGCTTGAGGCGACGCTGGAATGCAGATCTGGAAGGGCTGTCTGAACGGAGACTCTTCTAGTCAAAGGCAGCAGCAAGGGCAAGTGCCTGATGCGGGAGCCTGCCTGGATTTTTGTTTTTTTTTTTTTTTTTTTGCGACAGGGTCTCGATCAGTCATCAGGCCAGAGTACAGTGGCACGATCTTAGCTCACTGCAGCCTTGACTTCCTGGGTTACAGCAATCCTCCCGCCTCAGCCTCCTGAGTAGCTGGTATTGCAGGCATGCATCACCACACCTGGCTGATATTTTTTCTTTTTGTAGAGATGGGATCTTGCTTTGTTGCCTGGGCTGGTCTCGAACTCCTGACCTCAAGCAATCCTCCCACCTTAGCCTCCCAAAATGCTTGGATTATAGGTGTGAGCCACCATAACTGGCCATGCCTGGCATTTTTGAGGTCCAGTGGCTTCCAGGAGGCCATGAGGTCAATGGGGAGCATAAGAGGAGCTAAGGTGAGAGACAGTTGCAGGGAGGGTGAAGGCAGGTTGACGAGGGCCTCTTAGGCTGCAGTGAAGATTCTGCCTTTCGTTGTAAGTGAAATGGGGAACCTTGGAGAGTTTTGAGCACAGAAGTAACTTGATCTGACTTGTGCTTTTCATGATCCTGGGGTGGCTGGGCTGGCAGCAGATGGCTGGGGTTCAGGGGCAGAAATGCGGAGATCAGTTAGGCTCCTGCAGTGACCCAGCTGAGGTAATGGTGTTTAGAATTGGGAAGCAGCCATCGAGGTGATGAGAAGTGGTTGGATTCTGGATGTGTTTGTTTTTTTTTTCTTTTGTTTTTGAGATGGAGTCTCACTCCGTCACCCAGGCTGGAGTTCAGTGGCACGATCTTGGTTCACTGCAGTCTCCGCCTCCCAGGTTCAAGTGATTCTGCTGCCTCAGCCTGCTGAGTAGCTGGAATTACAGGCGTGCCCCACCACGCCCAGCTATTTTTTGTATTTTTAGTAGAGGTGGGGTTTCACCATGTTGGCCAGGATGGTCTTGATCTCCTGACCTCGTGATCCGCCTGCCTCGGCCTCCCAAAGTGCTGGGATTACAGGTGTGAGCCACCGCGCCCAGCCAGATTCTGGATGTGTTTTAAAGGTGGAGCTGGTAGGAATTGCTGGTGGACTGGATGTGGGGTGTGAGATTCTCCAAGGACCTGGGGTTGGAAGAAGTGTTCATTTGGTGGTTTTGTTCAGTTTCCCCAAGGGTTTTCAGAGCACCTGCTCTGTCTGCACCTTGGGGCTGCCCATGTCCTGGGAGGCTCTGGAAACAGCTTACGGGGCAAGCTCACAGCCTTGGGCTTCTGGGCTCCCCTGCGGAGGGATTTCCGAATTTGAAGGTGAAATTCTGGGAGGGACTTTGAGGTACCTCCTCTTCTGTCACCGTGGGAAATGCCTGTGATAGGCCGGAAATGTTAGCATCGGAAAGAGCTGTTTGACACTGCAAAAGTGCTGTTTTGTGCCTTTAGAATTATCAATAGAAAGAGCTGGATCACTTTGACAGGTGGGCCTTTAACCTCTAACTGTCCAACTTGATTTGGCAATTTAAAGCCCAAACATTTTCGGTGGGAAATACAATAAACACAAGAACTCTGACTACTCCTTTTCTTTGACTGGATGTTTTATATATACATATTTAAAACCAGGTCTCTCTGTCACCCAGGCTGTAATGTAGTGGTGTCATCATAACTTACTGCCACCTTGAATTTGAATCCTCCCACCTCAGACTCCTGAGTAGCTGTGACTACAGGCACACACCACCATGCCTAATTTTGTTTATTTTTTGTAGAGATGGGGGTCACACTGTGTTGCCCAGGCTGGTCTCGAACTCCTGATGTCAAGCGATCTGCCTGCCTCAGCCTTCCTAAGTTCTGGGATTACAGGCATGAGCCACCATGCCTGTTTTAAAAGTTTTTCTTGATTAAAAATGACAACAGGCTGGGCGCTGTGGCTCACACCTGTAGTGCCAGCATTTTGAGAGGCTGAGATGGGCCCATCATTTGAAGTCAGGAGTTTGAGACCAGCCTGGCCAACATGGTGAAACCCCGTCTCTACTAAAAATGCAAAAAATTAGCCAGGCATGGTGCCGTGCACCTGTAGTCCCAGCTACCCGGGAGGCTGAGGCAGGAGAATTGCTTGAACCCTGGAGGCGGAGATTGCAGTGAGCTGAGATCACACCATTGCACTCTAGACTGGGTGACAGAGTGAGATTTTGGCTCTAAAAAAAAATTAATAAATAAAATAAAGAAAACAAACTTCAGTGTCCTTATTGATTAGTAAAGTGAGATTTGGGAATGGGAGTTCTGGTTGGAGCGTGTTCCCAGAGAAGCTAATGACGACTGTGTCTCAAGTACATATTTCTGGTTCAAATTTGGCAACTGAATGGACAGTAATTGGTTTTGGCTGATGCCAGGTGAACATTTGTGTGCTCTCAGGGGAGGATTTCAGGGGTTAACTTGTTGAGTTTTTCTTTGGCTGGGTCCCTGTAAATCTCCTTAATCTTTCCTTTCCCCAAATAAATCTCCTTAAATCCCCTTCAATCTCTGTCCTCCTGCCTCTCCTCCTCTCTCCTCTGGAAGGGCTTAGGCATTGGTCCAGCGGCGATTTGTCACATTACTGGTCAACTTGCCCACTGGGGATATGTTTTTATTTCTTTCTTTTTTATGAGACAGAGTCTCACTCTGTCACCCAGCCTGGAGTGTGATGGTGCGATCTTGGCTCACTGCAACCTCCGCCTCCGGGGTTCAGGCGATTCTCCTGCCTCAGCCTCCCGAGTAGGTGAGATTATAGGCACATGCCACCATGCCAGGCTAATTTTTGTAATTTTGGTAGAGATGATGTTTCACCATGTTGCCCAGGCTGGTCTTAAACTCCTCATGCCAAGTGATCCGCTCCCCTTAGCCTCACAAAGTGCTGGGATGATAGGCATGAGCCACTGCGCTCAGCCATTACGTTTCTTTAATTAATGATCTGCTTATAGGTGGCCACTGTGAAGCCTGGTGCCCGAGTCAGTGGACCCAAGGTATTTCCCTGATGCAAAGTGGCCAGTTCCATGCTTATTTAGTCCAGGAGGACACATGGACTTTGGGAAAGATTCCAGCCTGATCTCGGTTCATGTTCGCTATGCCCCTTTGGCCTTCTGTGGTAAGGGAGATCTCTTTTTCTTTGGGCTAGTTTTTTTTTTTTTTTAATTAGATTTCCCTTGATTTTCTTTTTTTTTTTTTTCCCACTTATTATGCAGTGTATTGATCATTCAGGCTCCATTTAGATCAAAGGTAACTTCCAAATACATGCCATAGGTCAAGTTTATACCTTCAGCTATCTGTTCTCCTTGTCTTGTGCAGTTTTTCCAAATCTTTCAGCAGGACTTAGAAATGGAGAGTTTCTAGCCTGGAGTGCTGGCTCATACCTGTAATCCCAGCACTTTGGGAGGCCAAAGCAGGAGGATCACTTGCGACTGGGAGGTTGAGGCTGCAGTGAGCTGTGATGGTACCAGTTCATTCCAGCCTGGGTAACAGAGACCATGTCCCCAGAAGGAAAGAGAAAAAAGTGGGGGACCAGGTGCAGTGACTCATGCCTGTAGTCCCAGCACTTTGGGAAGCTGAGGCAGGTAGATCACCTGAGTTCAGGAGTTCAAGACCAGCCTGGCCAATATGGTAAAACTGTCTCCACTAAAAACTCAAAAATTAGCTGGCATGTGGTGCATGCCTCTAATCCCAGCTACTCGGGAGGCTGAGACATGAGAAACACTTGAACCTGGGAGGTGGAGGTTGCAGTGAGCTGAGATTGTACCACTGCACTCCAGCCTGGGCGACAGAGTGAGACTGTCTCAAAAAAAAAAAAAAGGGGGATTCTGTCTCCTGATTAGCACTGAACCTTGAGGGTGAGCCCTTCATAGCGTGTATTTGCTGAGGCCAGGTAGGGGAGGCAATGTAACATGATTGAAAGATCGTTCTGGTACAGGCATTCATAGCTGAATGCGTCTGGGTAGATTCCTTAATCTCTCAGTTTAAGAGGGAGACAGGAGTTGCTGCCTAGTGGGATTGTTGTAAGGATTCAGTGACATGTGTGAGGTACCTGGCACATAACTGGGATTGAATATATGGTAACTGTCATTAAGCTGTTGCCTCCAGTTGCCAAAGTTGACTTCCCTTGGACATTTGGGGCCAGTTCTGGTGGGGAAGAACATGTCAGTATCTGTTGGAAATTGATTTTTGGAAGCTCTTGTTGCAAATAGGCATGATGGCGCATATTTAGCCTTCCCCGAAACTCATTTAAGAAACTGATGGCCGGGCGCGGTGGCTCAAGCCTGTAATCCCAGCACTTTGGGAGGCAGAGGCGGGTGGATCACGAGGTCAAGAGATCGAGACCATCCTGGTCAACATGGTGAAACTCCGTCTCTACTAAAAATACAAAAAATTAGCTGGGCATGGTGGTGTGTGCCTGTAATCCCAGCTACTCAGGAGGCTGAGGCAGGAGAATTGCCTGAACCCAGGAGGCGGAGGTTGCGGTGAGCCGAGATCGCGCCATTGCACTCCAGCCTGGGTAACATGAGTGAAACTCCGTCTCAAAAAAAAAAAAAAAAAAAAAAAAAAAAAAGAAAAAAAAGAAGTTCTTCAGTCAGCCAGGGAAGAGAAGTCCGCAGGTGTTTTTCCTGGTACAGTGAGTAGCTAAGAAAATAGACTTGAAGATTACATGGATCTGGGTGGAAATCCTGGGTCCACAGCTTCCTAGCTGTACGGCTTTGAGCCAATTATTTTACCATTCTGAGCCTCACGTCCTCGACTGTAAAACAGGATAACACTCGGACCTAATGTGAGGCTTGCGGTGAAGATGAAACCAGGGTGCGTGCGAACTGCTGAGAGCAGCGCGCGTCACGTGGGTGTGTGCACAGTAAATGCCCGCTCTCTCCCATTTGTCCCTGCTCTTCAGAGGCCATTTGCACAGATTTGGAAGGCACGCTGAGCCATTCAACATTTGCTCCCAACAGGGGTGATTAGTTCATGTAATGCTAGCATTAAGCAAAAGACTCTGCCTGAAACGTCCTCTGGCCCTGCTTCGGCGCTGGAGTGACCTAGTTAGCTGTGTGTCCCAGGCTCAGCCCTGCCTCTGGGTAGCTCCTCCACGTTTTTTTCTCTGCACCTCTCCCTGCACCCTTAGCTGGTTTTAAAACATCTGTCCCCCTCTCCATCAGCCTGGGCAAGAGTCCCTTCTCCCTGCGCGGAGGTCCGCAGGCAGACGGTGGCTTTCCTGTGATCCGACATTCTTTTTTTCGCGGGAAGCTGCTTCAGTCTTTCTGCTTTGTTTCTTACTGAAACTTGTGTTGATTTGAGGACTCAAGTAACTTCCTTACAGTGTCTAACCATCATGGAGTTGCGTAGTTTAAAACCTATAGGTACTGAATTTATTTTAATGCTAGAGTATTTAAAAATGGCAGCATGCCTATGTATATACCACGTAAGAACATGTATTTATTTAAAATATCCTTCTGCGGGATTTTTGCATGGGAGGTGGGAGAAGATCTCAAAAGCTTTCAATGTCCCAGGTCACAGGATGTTAGCATAACACGTGGGGAGTGAATTTTCCAATCAGGCATGATTCCTTCTCCTGACCTGTCCATTTCAGTTCCTTTGGCAGCCACACAACATCCAGGATCATGATTTATTGGTGCCTCTATCACAGGCTGAGCAGAGGAAGAAAAAGCTCCTCCAACTGAAAGTAGTCAATATTTCTAGTTGTTGAGAGGACCTTTCTCTGTCTTTCATGACCACAACACAGATCACTGAAATTGGTTTTACAATAAATTGGATTTGGTGTCGTAAATGGAATCCTAAAGGTATTGTATTAAATAAAACCTCAGACGGTTTCTGATGTTCAAGTGACAGTCCCGCCTGCCTCCCTAACACAGCCATGTCCCCTCGTACAGGCCCAAAGTGTTGTGAAAAAGAAAAACCCTAAACCCGTGC